AACCCTCTAATATTAAAAAAAACCACCTCACACAAACAAGCACATATTTACGTAGACAATCTGCAGACGGGGGAGACGAGAGCGGTCAGCAATGTTCATAGATACTCTCGAGGTCACTGTAAGAGTTCTGATAGGATGTAATAATCGGTCAATGTCCTCTGGTGAGATCCATAAACAGTCTTGAGGGATGTCGAGGAATGGCCAAGAATAACATCTATGAGAATCCAAGAGTCCTGAAATGATGACACAAGTTTATTCAGCTGGTTTCATCTGGTTATCAGTTGGAAATTCCTCAGGGAGGGGGTGGTGAGCGTCAGATCACATGTTCTCCAGGCAAATTCAGATAAGGTGGCCTTCAAGGCCATCCAAGGGAGCCAAATTCAGATAAACACGCAGTTGTTTTGGGGACAGGCAGAACTTAATGACATTTACCTTGAGTCTGTGTTGATCGACTCGGTTCCGAAATGGCCAAATTACATGGCCACACCAATGGAACGTGACTGAGTAAAATCCCCAAGATCTGATCCATTCAGCCCAAAGCATTTGAGTCCAGGTACTTGAGGCACGAACCAAGCCATCATAAAGGCAAGCAGCGTGATCAGGTCCAAATTTGCTGCCGACGACTTCCTTGATTGTAGATAAAACCAGAAACCAGCCAAATCCAAAAAGCAGGAACCAGTTATCATAAATCCAATTAAATATGTTTCCTTAAAATCCACAGATGGCAGCAGAGATAAACACATCATCAAGTCTTCCATTCAATGAAATATCCAGTTGCGTGCGTGCCAACAGGGCAAATCGGTTCGCCTAAAGCCTGTCTTCTCTTCAAAGAAATGCTGTAAATTGAGTTTGACTTCCAGGAGGCATCCAAATCAGATGTCCCTATCCCTTCAATAGACTCATTTTTATATGGAGTAGTAGTGGCTCTGCTTCGAGTTCTTCCTGGATGACAGAGCTGGCAGGCCACCCTTTAGAAGAAGTATATTTCAGCTGCTTGTTTCCAAGATCATGTTATTTTAGTGATTAGCCATACCTAATGACTAAAGGTAAGTGTGAATGTAGAGGAACCACTAAATTGATAGCCTTGCCTTTTAGTTCAGCTCTTTCTTCCCCACATCAAACCAAAGTGATGCCTGCATTACTACAATTGTCATGACGTAGTGTTTCCCCTAGTTTAACTTGCCTTGGCAAGGTGCTCATATCTTCTGTGATTTTTAATGGGGCAGGGGTGGTTGGTTGGTAGACAGGTCGCTTGGTTCTGTTGTCAGGGCAGGGTGCCCTGCTTGTATAATGGTAGGAGAAACACTGTGACATGAACAGTAAGATCGCTCCGCCCACAAAGAAATGTAACCCACTGTGAGCTAACTTGCAACAAACAAGATAAATGTAATGGTGGAGGGAGTGAAGCTCACAGTGTTACCCGAGGCATTGAATGTGGCATTTTTGCCTCATCAGTTTTTATCACTTTATCCATCTTTTACATTTTTCCAGACTACGTTAGGTTCTGTATACCACAATCTAAACGCTCAGGGTAACATGTTTATAAGTTGCATGTTCGTCACTGACAGTGTTTAACCATTTTTTCCGATGATTCTTCACAAAATCCCTTTGACCACAAAGCGTTAGTAATGCAAAATCCTGACAGTGTTGTCAGGGGAAAAGAGGTGCCGCTCCTGCAGTTGAGGCATTTCACTTTGGAACAAAAATGCAATCACCGATTGGTCAGTTGCTGACAAGCCTACTAGATTGACAGACAGATGTACAGATGTACTGTATTTCATATAAATACAATCTAGTTACTAGTCAATCCAATTAGAGGAGGTTAGGTGATCACCCCACAGTGTAGCAAACAATAGTTTGTAGAGACAAGAAACCAATTACAGTAGTCCCTCGCCACTTATCGGTTTGTTTATGGTGGACTCGCTCTATTATAATTTTTCAAAATAAGAGTGGACACCACACAATTGGATGATTGATAGGTGAGCTGCACAATTGACATGGAATTTTTATTTAAAATTAATTATTTTAAATTATTTAGCACCTGCTGCATATTTGTACAGCCCAGAGCTGCAGAAAAAATTGTCCTCCTGCGTTTGTGCAGCTCTTACTGCAGGATAAGCTTCCTGTTAAAGCTGATCAGCTGTTTCAGCTGTTTGTGGGGAAGTGGGTGTGGCCAAGACTGCTTGCAGGTGGCTATGTGCAGCATGGCAGAGAGGAGGCAGAGAGCTAAAATCATGACATTTTGTGCTCTTTTAGAGTGTTTAGAGTTTAGAAATATTGCTTAGAATATTGTAGGAGTATGGGAAGGTTTAAAAACACCTTTATATATATATATAAATATATATATATATATATATATATATGTGTGTGTGTGTGTGTATATATATATATA